GCAAATGATGGGCCAGTTTTCAGTACCGGCTGCCTGTTACAACCCTGCCCGCTAACTAGCAGCGAGCTGACTGACTCCCCATAGGTTGAGCCATCTGTCACATCCTGTCCACTCTGTAAACTCTTCTTACCTTACCTCGGCTGCATTCACATGGAGGATTTGTCGAATTAATGCATGTTATTGAGTACAGAATGACCTCTTGACCCAGCAGCCTCAGCTTTTACTGTTACCTTCACAGTAATCTGATTTAATCTGTATTTGGTGAATGCAAGGTAACCTCTTAACATGATTGGCTCTGTACATTCATGGTCACCTTCAGTGCATGCTGACCCTTATTTAGCCACGAAAAGTACAAGTGAATTTGTCTAGACAGAGGATGAAATATAATCTTATTATCATTTCTTAAAGCGCTCTGTTGCTTTAAGTTTGGTCCTTTAGTTTCCTACTTCTGTTATTTAAGTAAATTTATTTTTAAAACCTAAATTAAAATCTTAATCTGAGATAATTGTGGATTTATTCACTTTATTCCAAAGTATTTTTTACTTTTTAATTTTCTAGTTAGACATTTTTAGACATTTTTATACCAGAAAATAAAACTCTAAAACTCTGTAATGTTCAAGTTTATTCACAAAATAGGTTTAAAAGTTGTAAAAAATTATTTAATATTATTTGCGTATAGTTGTCTAATGATTTATATATATCACATTTTAGCTGTTAAGAAGACCGTTTTGGTTGCAATGTAAAGAACTATATGTATTTTACTTATTTTTTTATATACCTTTTTTTGAAACTTGAAAGTAAAATATATGACAATTAAAATGAGACACAAGATCTGTTATAAATCTGCATAATTTAGAATCTATATAATTCAGACACTTATCATAATTGCTGTATATTTGATAGGAAATCCAGTGAAAGCATCCTGAGTAGATATGTGTATTATCAAACTTATAAGATCTAACCAACCTTTCGTGAAAGTAATCTTGAAAGTGTATAAACTTTACAAGACATAGATGTCACATACATATTTAAAAAAAAAAAAAAAAAAAAAAA